CTTCGCTGTTTAACTCTAAGACGATGATCCGAAGTATCGAACTAGACATGTCCCCACAGTTAGCTGAGTCCAGTGCTCTTTTCAGGTCCAAGAATATAGCGGCGGTATTTAGTGATACTCGAGTACGAAACTGAAAGTGGATTTCAAGATGTTTGTCTCCATCGAAGGCTTCAGCAGGCAAATTACCAAAGAAATCAACACTCCTGTAACGGTCACACTTACTTCCTGAGTGTTTATGCCGTGATTATCTGCAGTAAAGATTAATAATACGACACTCGTCTGGCTGGATATAATAACAGTAGTCAACCTGTTTTAGTGGCTGAAATTTGTATCTGGGCCCAGTATGAACTTTCCAGACTCCATTCTACTTTGATGCGCGATAACCTCTGGCTCAGCGCCATCTCCATCTCATAGGTCCTTACACTTGACACTAATTCCTTTACGGAACGAAAGGTCATTGAGACAGTCGAATGGCTTCAATCGAGCATCACGGTTGCGTCTAATCTTCAAAGAAATCAGCTCGCATCTCTCGTAGATTAAGATGTGCGTTGGATTCAAACATCTTTTTTTCTCAGACCTTTGAATGCAAAGTCGAACTTCTGAGTTTATAATTTTCGAGCCCTTCAGCTCAAATGTTCTTTTCTGTGAATCGAAATTATTTCCAGTACTTTATTTTTTATCCTGTATTCATATGGCACCGCTCATTACACTTCAAGTGTTTCAGCAGGAGTGTGGTGTTGTTCTCCTATTTCACACACTTCTGAGTCTAGAAGATGTGCCAAACGGGTTACGGCACATCAGTTTCTTTATAACTAAGAAAAAGGTCCGTGATTTGTTAATGGGCGGGATATTTCCAGGTTGTTCAGAACAAGCTTGTAGATTCATGATATATAACCCCCTATCTGAGACGAACGTCAAACTCGGAGTAGCTAAAAGAGCGCATCGTCATACACATCTTTTTTCGAATCGAATAGGACTGCTTAAAAAAATTTCATAGGGTCTTTGGTTCGGGTTTTGGCTACTCTGAACAACGGACTCAAACAGCTGTCCACATGGACGATAATGATCCGTGGCATCAACTAACCGTTTATCAAAAGCTGTGTCCGAATTCATCCCCAGACAAGAAAAACGGATGCATCGCGTGGAACTACGAAAGGAATGACTCTGGGGCATACGTTCCTGATGCACTGTTTAAAAATTATTCATTAAGAACTACCTCTGATCAAAACTAAACTGCAGTTTTTTTAATTTTCTAATCATTTTATCACCCAAATAAATCATCCTCTTGCGCATCGCGGAATCAAACAGTCTAGATGACCAACGCACACTTTTCGGTGTTGCCTGGCCGAAAAACCGATGTACGTAAGTATACGGTTGTAAAAACTGAACGAATAGTTTGCCGAGACCAAGGCCGCATCATACATGTACGATTGCTAACGGGAGTCCGTCTATTAGACAAGTGACTATTTGGGCCTACCGAGTTTGCAAAAACCGGTCTTTTAATGTGGGAATAATCTCGAAGACAGATTTGGTGCTGGATGAAAAATATTTCTCCGTGGGTTTTTACTGAGAAGCCCACATGAGTCCGTTTATACAAAACTCAAGACTGTATTTGACCCTAGGAGATGGTAAACAAGTTGTCTAAGGGACATAATGCCCAGAGCTGAACACAAGAAAAAACAAGGGATGATAAATCTGAGCAATATGTCGGTTATGACCACTCAATTCAACGGATTATTCCGTCCTGATTACCCATGGCGGGGAGGCACCGATGTCACAATAAATTCATAATCTGCATGCCGCAGGGCTTGATTATAAGATACGGCAAGAGAGTTTAACTACGTAGCAGAAGAACGATTAGGGTAATCAGGCGAATCCTTTAGATCTAAGGAGAGCCACAGGGCAGCGGGTGAGACGAATTTTGTCTATACGGACAGATTACTTCTCTACCACCTTTTCCGACTGAGAGAGAGAGCAACTCTAGAAAATAGGGAAGACATTCGTGACAACCTGGAAAATAAAGTGTGATAGGCGAAACAAGCTTTCCTCCAATAATTAACCAAACTGTCAACTGGTAAGTCTGCGTATTGATAGACAAGTAAAACTCCATTTATGACCTGTTTGCGGCTCAGCCTAAACAGTAGAACTCGGGTCGAACAAAAGCCAACCACAGCTTGGTGCGGAAATCGCTTGATATATCTGGTTCGGTGTTTTCAAACAGTAGAGTTAAATCGAAAACAAGAAGGCAAAAACTTTATACATGGAAAACTCTGGTTCACTGTACACACCAGGATCAATCGGAACTGAAAAAGACGAAGGGCGGACGGGGATGGGAGGGGGGAGGGTAAGTCATGAATATGGGGCAATCGGCGCAGCGTATTCCTGTGGTTACAGGTACAAACTGGCTGCAAACACAATGTCCCGTTTTAGCTTCTCGATGGCTGCAAAGTAGATAGGTAATTGAGGGACAATATTAGAACAGAGAATATGAAACGGACCAAGCAAGATTCAATGTGCAATCAAGCCAAAGGAGGAATTAACAAATTGCAACCGGGATGCTAACCAANATGCAATTACACCCGCGTTCATAACCAACTGCGACCGTTTTTATCAAGTGAAACGAGTCTTACATGTCTGTAAGAGAAACCCGTAACATTGTGAGACCACTTTCTTCTATTTCATCAAACTTACTTTCGTTGGAAACCAGGTACGGACGGACGGATGAGTTGACCGTCCCATCTTATTAGTGAAGATGCGCAACTCGTCGTTCTACATCGCCATCGGAACCGAATCGCGATGAATGTGGCAAATGTCGAGTGTAACATTATTACATGCTCTGCATAATCTTTCCGAGCGGTTCCTTATATCTCGCCTCTATGTCACTTGCAAAGCTCTGGATGTTTTCTCCCACTCCGGAGTGCCGATATGAGGCTCGGTGCGGTGGACGACTGCTACACTGGTTTAAAAACTCAATAGGAGACAATTATTGTTTCACTTGGTGTTTTTATGTCCTCGAGCTGCATTGAGTTACTTCAACACAGCATCGAGCTTGATTTCGTCGTTAAAACCAGAGGAATGTGGCAAGAAAAGTAAAACAAGTAAACAGGATTGGTAGCATTGAAAATACCTTTCTAGCTCCTACTCCTCAAATAAGTCAAACAACATTCACAGTTACGGGACACCACTGGCTCAGTTCGAGTAGACCACTGAACAGATATGCATGAACGGGCGAATCTTTGCAAAGTGATCACAGTCAACGTTCAATTGGCGCTGAACCGAGTCGCGCTGACATAAAACTGAACCCTGGAACCGGCTCGATATGGAACAGTCCGGTTCGAGCCATTACAAACTCCATACAGCTGCGTAACCGGTTAGGTGAAACAGCTAGCTATGTGATGCTTGCATAGATTGACGCGTTGAAGTCGGGTAGCGAGTCACGTTACAGCCATTCAGTCGCGAGCAGTTTTACCGAACAGTTTCCGATTACGCTTCATTCATGTAGCAGCATGATACGAAATTTTGCACAAAACGGAGAACCAAATCGGGTTGTTATGTCCGTGCAGTAAAAAGATACAAATAGAGCAATACCAAGTGATTACCAATTTCACTGTTAATTAGTTGTACTTTTTCGCCTGATGGGCATTAGATAACCTTTCGAGGATGCGAATTTCATTGGCACAGTTTACAAATATCCCAGTCATTTGTTGTCTGTCGATATGTCGTCAGTGAATCAGTTTCAGTTTTACAAGCATGATCTAATGGAGCGCGGATATAAGTTGTTGTCTCACTACTGTCCATTTCGATGAAGGAGTAAAGGGAAGATTGGAATATTCAAATCAGTCAGTATCAGAGTGAAAATGAAGCATTTAAGAATACTAAGATTGTAAAGAGACCGAGAAGGTACACGAGCGTCATCGTTTTCTTGGCAGGTAAGTGAAACCGCCCAAACCGCTCCGTTTTAACCGATTCCAGTTAGAGAGAAGAAAGTACTTTGCCCAGTCATATTGGATGACAGTTTTGCATCATAAATTTGATCATTGTCTCATGATCCGGTAAACTAAACGATAATTTTTAGAACAAACAATTTGGGGGAACAATTGTTTTTCGGTAATTCCTTCCCAAGCTGTTTACAGATTACACAGGTTACATTAGAAAATACAATTAGACACATCACAAATCATGGCTAAGAGCTTGTGATGGTCAACCGGTCGAAACAGTTGAACCAATCAAATGACAGATACCAGTTGACCATGACAAAATCTTAGCCATGATTGGTGATGTTTCTAATTCTACTGTCTGTTTTCTAGGTAATGTGTAAACGGCTTGAGGAGGAATCGTTGTAAAAACAAATTTTTTGCTGTAAATGCTGTGACACTTAAACAACGACGACCGAGTGACACAATATCAGATAGTTTTGACGGTCCGAATAGTGGTGAATCAAGTGGCTAGTGGGCGGCTTAAACAACCTCTTCAGTATGAGATCAAATCCAGTTGGTTTCAGAGATTCTGATGTAATGCTGATGATTCCTAACAATCCGAATGAAGCAGTTGTGTTCTTCCCGTGCTATAAAGGACAGACATTTTATTTTTACTTCATCACATGAGAAAAGAATCAAATGGATTTCAATAGTTATGTTAACCGTAATCAAGCTGGTAACTGGGTATTTTATAGAGAGCCGCTTTATTTATACCACCAGTTTCGTAGATATCAACAGTCTGATATCTGCTTTCAGGCCGCAAAAATTGATAAAAACATTCGATCACGTGTCAAACACATTAATCATTGAAGTGGGATTGCGCCAGAAAAGTTGGTAGTGATGCGAGGCTTACCGAGGAAAGTGGAAACGCAGTACGCTATTTAATGGACACAACTGGAGTCATGATGTCTATGTGACCGGATTAAAGAAGCCTTCATCATCTAAGATTTTGACGGATACACTACTTCCGATCATTAGGATCAACAGTGCAGTTTTTGTTTCGAATCCAATTCTTGTACACGGGTGACTGTGTCGTACCATGCCAAATAAACTACGGGTATGACTGACCCCAAAGGCATGTAACACAAGACAGGAAATTCAAAATAGACGAAACGCCCTGATTGGGACGAACTATCTGTGTCAATTCCATCGCCAACTTCAATCAAGAAACGTTATGCGAGAACTTGTAAAACGCGAGTAACAAGTACAAGTAAACTGGGTGCTGATCTAACATAAGAACGGAACAGTGGATTATTGTCAAACGGGTTGATTCCGTCTAACCCCCTTGGTGACGACGAGACTGCACCTTGACGTGGTGTGATGGCTTGCGCGCCTCAATGACCCTGCGAGCTACACAGGATGGCTTCTCACAGCCGTAAATCCAAGCATGCCTGAAAGGTCAACGGGTAGAGGCCAGACGGTGGGAGAAGTCTTCGCACTTCATTGGACAGCTACCGCCCGCCCAAGCTGGGCAGCCCCAGCCAATAAGGTGCTGTCTCGTCCAAGTTCCGCTTGTCTCATTGGGTGCATGAGGCTAAGGGTTGATCCCGAGAAGCGGACCGATAATCAACGCGCCAGCGAACAACACACTGAATCGAAATGCAAAGGCCTTGCGTGACAGGTCTCCAGATGCTCCCCACGGGTGCTTCGTTCACGCTCCCGCGTTGGATTTACGCCCCACTGCCTTGTGGGTCAGACTATTGAGTCAAAGGCTCCGGTTAGGCTTCCCAAACAAAAACCCCTTCGTCGGTGTGGGCTACCGCGAAGTATGCCGTGCCCTAAAGTCTTAGGCATCCATTTGGAAAACGACCCTTCCGTTCTGACTAGTTCTTCTTCTCAACCGCGATTAAGCCCATATGCCTCCTGTTTACGCCACTCATCGAATATCACTCAGCGTTTTACCATCAAGGCCAGAGATTCAGAAGCTATAGGGTTTTTAAAGCCAAAATCCCCTTTTCACTTGGCCGCGTTCAATGTCCGCACGCTCTATCACATTGGTCAACAAGCTGCCCTGGCTAGAACCCTCGAAACTTTCAATGTAGATGTATGTTGTGTCTCCGAAACACGCATACAAGACCCTACTTCTATTATCTCTCTGCGTTCTCTTGAACCAACCTCAACCTCACGCTTCATCCTTCGTGTGTCAGGCGATTCGGTATCCGAAGCTCGCGGTGTTGCTGGTTTCGGGATTGCGCTAAGTGCCAAGGCAGAGCGCTCGCTTCTTGACTGGATTCCAGTCAGTAGCCAATTGTGCGCTGTACGTCTCAACGGTTCAGTTCGAGTCAACAGCTACAGAATAAAGCATCGATGCTTATTCGTCGTATCGGTGTATGCACCGACGATCGCAGTATACTTGAATGCCAGGTAGTCATATTCGGTATGCGTTTTGCACCTTCAAAGTATAAAATGTTGCTAAAAGACTGGGTTGGTCCAGCACCCAGACTCACTTTTACTAGGGAAGTAATATAACAGGTGGATAAGTTTTGTTATTTGGGCAGCTACATCTCACCCGGTGGACGCATCACGGATGAAATGACAGATCGCATACAAAAACATCGGTTGGCATTTGCTAACTTGAGACATCTGTGGCATAGCCGCGACATCCGGCTGTCTGTGAAGGGTCGAGTGTATGCCGTAACAGTTCGGCCAGTCCTGCTATACGGTGCAGAAGCTTGGCCATTAAGAAAACAGGATAGAGATAGACTGTCGGTGTTCGAAGACCGCTGTCTACGCAGCATTGCGCGAATCTGATGGGGTAGCCGGATGAGCAATGCTGAGGTTAGACACAGAGTTTTGGGTGTCTGTGGTCGTCCACTGGAGCAAGTGGTCGACCTCCAAGGAATCCGTTGGTTGAGACATGTGTTACGCATGTCACCAGATGGGTTACCACGGCGAGCGATGTTCGCCGAAGCAGACACCGAGTGGAAAAAAGCCAAGGGTGGTCAAGCTAAGATTTGGCACGAGGGTATGAAAACCCTAACTGGGAGACTGGGCCACATAGGTCTTGTTAGGCTTCGTGGCTGGGGACCTCGGGATGATCGTAACCGATGGTTGAGACACTAAGTGATATGGCTGGGTGTTGCAACCAGTGGCGTTCGTGCATCTTCTCAATCTCTTTGCAACCTTAGACCACTGACCTTCTCCATTTTCTTTTCGACTCCACTTTCAACTTCCCTTTCTTCTCCCATTCTTCATCCAAACGGGCAGCCAAAAGACAGCAACCAAAACCGGTGCACGAATATGCGTGGTTAATGGTTGTTCAAACTGAAACTGAAACACCCCCTTGGTTTCAGTTTGAACAACCATTAACCACGCATATTCGAGCGCCGGTTTTGGTTGCTGTCTTTTGGCTGCCGATTTGGATGAAGAATAGGATAAGAAAGGAAAGTTGAAAGTGGAGTCGAAAAGAAAATGGAGAAGGTCAATGGTCTAAGGTTAGGAGTAAGTTGCTTTGAGTTTTTGTGCAGTGAAGCTCTACATGACCGAGCGTATTTCCAGGTCGTCAATAGGAGAAATGCCACTTAGGTTGCAAATCGTGAATGGGTGGATATCGCTATCCTAAATAAACCGTGGCAGGTACAGCCACATCTGTAACAAATGTCCGTGGAAAACACTGCGAAATATTGAACTGTGGTCTGGTCACCGAATAAAAACATCTCCAACACTCTGCTGCTCCGCAGCTATGCAACGATGAGGCGCGTCCTCAAAGAAAAAGATGCAACACCAAATTCCCAAGAATCTTCATGGGCCTCTACACGAGGCCGAAATGCCCTCTGGCGGGAGAAAGCTGCCTGAAATTAACCATGATGGTTTATTCTAAGGAGCTGGACTAAGTTGTCTATTTTGTTTGCGACCTAATGCTTCGCTTTGTCTCCGGATTCAGTTGACACTCGTCGATGAGGGACACGCAAGAAAAAGACGGACCAGAGGGTGCTAAGAGGAAGTAGTAACGAAAAAATGTACAAATCTAGATTGGGATTACTCTTACGGACTTACGTGAACTACCCTGGAATTGTTTATTTCACATAAGGTAAGTAGTATGTCGAAAAGAGGGCCAAAAAGGATCACCAATAACAGCATACCTTCGTTGAATTTTGCTTCCAGTGTGGCATTCCCGATTGTCCTAGCCGCGTTGGCCATTTGCCGGAGAAGCTCCTCCAGCATGCGTAGCGTGCGGATGATTGTACCTTCGAACAGATCAGTCATGGAACAAATTTGAGCGAACGAAGCGCCTCGGGTCCACGAGTAGACCACGTCCATCATGTGTGGTTTGAACGAATCCACATACGAATCTTCATCCACTTTCAATCGGCATTCATTGCTAATCCGAGCGATTCTACGGGCCGTATCCTGTCCAGGAATGAAACAAAAAACACTCCATTGATTTCAAAAGAACAGAAGAAAAACACAGGTAGGTAAGAGCAAGATCGTCGCCCAGGAGACACTAACGAGACTGCATTGTTTTGTGGAGAATGCGAACGTTCAGGGTATGGTGAAAGCAACCAGCTGATGGATTGTGCTAGATTTGAAAAGCATTAGAGCACGGATGGACTACTTAAGGGCTTTCAAAAATACTAGCTTTTCTGTGCATAGACGAAGCCTCGTTCATGTGCCAAAGAACTGATTTCAATGTGTACGCCTCTGAAAGCATCGATTGGGGAGAACACTGATTTCTGGTGCCAAATGTTTGTAGTTAATGTCTGAGCTTGTAACCGGGTGGTCGAATCGCTGACTGCCTGATCCATAAGGCTAATCTGGACTTAGCTTGAAAAAGCCGGTTGTAAACCTATCAGGAAAAGGTGTAACGTCTAGCTCTGGGACATCCGGCTGTCACGAGCTCAATTTGAAGTGCCAGACATGTTGAACGCACGATGCACCAACGTTTTTTTTTCATGCGAACTGGTGCGAGACTTCCGTTCCATGTACCGCGATAAACCATAGAGATGAGATTCTAAGCATTATCACCAGCATCAACCATCTTTCAGAATAGAATGTGAATTTATAAAAATTTCAAAATTCCAGCGTAATGTGTAATAATGTGGATTATTCACAGCCTGCGCATGAAGGCCTCATTGAGTAGATGGAACCGAGAAAAAGGCGATTGCCTTGTTACTTGCGAGTCACATTCGCAACGTCGGATTCTTGTGGCATGTCATAGGGAGAACACTGTTTAGGCAAAATCATCATCATTATCGCGTCCGTTTAGTCAGTGAACCTGAGCCCACCTCATTCACAGTTAACCAACGATTGATTTGGTGGCTGTTTCCCTATCTACCATTTGGGGACGCGCCAGGTAGCACGTGGCTCCAGACCAAAAGGCATATGATACGCTTGAATGAACACTGTCTTCACACGTGGCCTCGGTACCGTGTAAGTCAACCGAGGGCCCCTATTTGGAATCCGACGCTCGATAAAAAAATTCCCGCTTCAGTTTGCACGAACCAGCCGAATCGGGTCTATTGACGAACTAACGATCGATTCTTGATTATTGTACCATGGTTTACTCGAATTTCAGACTGGACCGAGACAAGTGGAAGTGTAGTTGTACGTGTACTTATGTGATAATGACGATACTAGTGCTAATCGATTAAATTACATGGAAAAAATGGGGAGATCTACTTATTTTCTATTGGAAAGAAACAGATGCATCAAGTCACCGAAGATGTGTAAAGTCGAGTTTGGAGCGAGAGAATATGCACAGTAAATGACTTAGAACACGCACAGCGGTGATGGAATGACCGGAAAATTATTTCATCCCTGTCCCCTCCCCCCCAATTCACCGTCACAGAGGTGGACGTACTCAAGCGTACCTCTCGTCCCGCCTCCCGCTCCCCTCCTTCATACAGGAACACAACCGATAACCGCGTGTACTGAACAGCGGGGCACGTGTGTGTGAGCGCGAGCGATAGCACCATGGCAATATTTTTGGCTGTTGTTTTCTTGTTGTTGTTGTTTCGGTCGAGTCCGCTTGCGGGTGACGTGGAAAAACGGAAACCAATCTTACATTGTACTGGACAAACTAATTTATGTGAAGTCTCGGGGATATCTGACGAGGCTGCGAAATCCGCATGAAGAATAGATCGTACAACGGTGAATTCGCAAAGAGAAACACGATAAGTTTGGGTGAACAATATACACTTGATCTGGGAAGAAAAGAACAGAGAACGTGTGCAAGGAATTTCAAAATTGTCATCCACTGGAAAACCAGAGAGACAAGCTGGAATGATTTTTCAACAGTCAGCTGCGAATGAACCTGGCCAATTAGCGATTAGTGCTTTGACCTGGCTAGTTGCCAACTCCCTAATTCTATTCGTCATCTTGTCGCCTGAGGTAAATGCAAAGTTTATCGAAAACAATGCGCCGGGGTTGGTCGAATGAAATACTTCACATAGATCCAATGTTCCTCCTTCCCTTGAGTTATCGATCTTCTTCTTCATCCCGTGACTCGTCGTGGCACTGTGAATTTCGTGTGTGTGTGTGTGGGTGGGTGTAGGTGATAGACTGCGCGGATCACATCGAATGGTTAGATTGTTACTCCCCAGTCGGTCTTAAGCACTAGCGAGCGAGACTGAATTTTTCACAACTGCGGCAGGTTGATGAGCCAAATCAATGGCTAACAACGGCAGAAAGTGCGCTCTAGTTAGTTGTATTCTATGCTTTGATGCATAAATTGACATTCGTACACAGTACCGGGACGTAATTCCGAGTGCCAAAAACCGGAATAAGTGACGCGGTTAGTGCGATCATAGATGCCTGATTGGTTGTAGAAGTGTACAGGAATCAGCGATGGGCACTTGGAATAAGCACATTACACAAGGGTGCGAGTTTAGACATCGGGCAAAGCCAATGTTGTGAGAGGCTATTCGTCTACAAGTGACGTCAAATCCACGTTGATCTTCATAGCTACATTCTGTCCCACCAGAATAGACCGATGGCGTCATTCATTATTCCGTTCCGTGTTAGAAAGCCGAATACAACAATAAAAATAAACTGTAGGAGATAGGATCGATCAGCTTGAAGTGAAATCTGTTCACTCGTAAACGATCCAGTACCGATCGATTTGATGCATGTTGCACAACGCATTTGGTGAAAATCATCAAACTGATGTCTCCAAATACCAATTTAAGAGAGTGCTGTGTGCGTGTGTGGAGAGGAGGGACGGACCAATGATTCGGGGCATCCAAGTCCCGGCATACTTTGGACAAGTCCACATTGAACGAAAGGTTTTCATCAAGGTATATTACACGAAGACCGAGTAGAAGTCTGATACACAAGACACTGAGCCTAAGATATAAAGCAAGAACACGGTTGCGTCTGTTTTTTGCAAAACCGTCTTCTGACTCGTTTTCCTCAGAGGAATAATCTCATCATCTTCATACCCTCGTGTTGGTAACAGTTTCTCAACGTTTCCTTCATCGTCCGTTTCTTCAGTGACTAAATGATAACGAAAATGAAGCAACTAAACCGAGGGCACGAAAGTACGGGGTTCGAGATGGTCCAGGTTGTTTTGAGAAACTCTCCCCCTTCCCTTTATTTTCAATTTTCCGGCATCCAAATGAAAAACCATGGATAAAACATTCAATAGACAAACCATTGTCACTTATACTTTGGGAAAGATTGAAAATTCGCATTTTTATCCACCCAATACTACTTGAAAAAGAACGTTCAACAGGTGGCCCGTTTTTAGCCATCGGTCGGGTCGGAGTTGTGAAGAAAAAAAAAACATACCTGAAGCGTACGCAATGCATCCGAAAGCTCTTTGGTCAATTTGGGCATATCCGAGGCACGTTCTTCAAACACGAAACATGACAAAAGGGCAGCAGTATGCTCCGGTGGTAGTCGGTTGAACACGCCATCGAACAAGAGCTCGGTTAGAAGTAGTTCATCTGCCGACGTGATCTCGCACGCCACACAACCTTTCAGCTCGATCACATCGTGTTCGGACACGAAATTCAAACGCCGAAGCACTCGTTTACGGGCGGTCAACTCCTCCATTTGAATGAGTGAAACTTTGCTGCCCAAATTTTCTGTCAGCTGATCGATACGCTTGCGCAACTGTTCCTTTTTCGCATATTGTGCGAGCAAATCACTCAGCCGTGGATCGTCGTGGAGCCAGTGATGATCCAATCGTTCCTCAAAAGCTTTTACCTTCTGCGGATTGACAAGTAAGATAGGATTGCAGGAGAGAGAATCTTTGAATGCCATATATTCAAACCAAACTCCGAGAACTCGAATGGGAATAATACTGAGTAGGAGTAACCAGGA